TGGTCAAGCCCACCCCGCCCGGGGCAGGAGCTGCCACAGCCCCTGGCCCCTTGCTGCCTCCCGCCCCGGCAGTCTCATGGGGACACCAACCAGGTTCGTCCCCGCTGCTTTACAGACGCATCCCCGTGGAGGGCCCTGCGGTGGGACACCGGGGAAGAGGGTTTGATAACCAGGGTAACACGGCGCCGGGGCTTTGGGCCATCAGTGCCAGAAACCTGCAGGAACCACCAACGCGGCCAAACTCATCTCAGCGGCTCTTTACTGGCTAAAAACTCGGTTTCTCTAGGACTTTTCTGGGTTTTCTTTAACGCAAACCTCAAAAAAGGAAGGCAATTTATGCTATGTTCTGATAAGCAGAATTTTGCGCCCTGTTGAGCCAGCGGCTCCTCCAGGCCCACCACGTCAGCAGCTCCCCAGGGTTTTCCTGACCTCTTCCAACGGTTCTGCAACGCGTGCTGCTTCCCTTTTTCACTTCCCTTTTCCGTTTCTCAGCAAAGCCCAGCAGCCAAGGGGTCTCCGAGCCACGGTGCCCCCAGAAACCACGTCGGGGACTGGGAGGAGAGGGGGGGAAGCAGGCAGGAGTCCCTCTACCACTGGCTGACACAGGGGCTGCATCCTGCGGACTGAGGTCCCACACACAATTTGGCTTCAAAAACCAGGTTTTAAGGAACTATCAGGCTTCGTTCGGAAGACGTGGAGAGCAACTGCGCAGGCACCTCCCTTCGGGATCCGGGACCCCATCCTGGGAACTGCTGGCTGTGCGAAAGCCACCTGAGACACGGTTCATGGGTGATGGCAGCTCTTCTTCCAAGCATGGGCTGCAGGAGCCAGGAGTCACCTCCGCTTTGCCCCACGAGAGATGGGAGCCAGCACGTCTCCGTGAGCAAACCACGGCCTTGCTCCCTGCCCCAAATCCTCCCCCCCCATGGCACTTGCCCACGGCCAAGGGGCCAACACAAAACCACTTGTGACGTCTACAAGAGCTCGGGCCGGGAACGCGACACGTCGTGGTCCAGGATGGCTGGCACGTGGTCCCTGCCGCCTTGGAACCCGCGGTGGCACCTTCACTGCACCACGCTCAGCTCCTTCCGCACCAGCTGCTCTCCGAAAGCATCTTCCAACGGTGGAGACGCGGTGTCCCCTCGTCCCTCCGGTGCCACCGGCACATCGTCAGCTCCCTGCGGGGCCCAGCCGTCCGCAGCTCCGCTGCCGGGGCAGTGGAGACGAGCCCCCCAGCAACGGACACAGCGTCCACGCTGACCCCAGGGATCACGCCCAGCCGCGCTGACTGCTTGGGAACGGGACGGGAAGCGACGCCGGCAGGGAGCCCTCCAGGAGGCACAAAAATCCTTGCAGGACTTTGTGGCGGTGACGAGCGGACCAGGCTTTCGCAGGCTCTAGTTCACCGCTGGTTTTGCCAGGGTCCCCTCAGCACCCCGGTCAAACCACCCCAAACCACTGCCCCGGCTGGAAGGCAGCTGAGCTTCCTGCCCAGCCCCACCACCTTCCAGCTGGGTTACTGGGAGAGCCAGCCAGGATCTGGCTTTTGAGGGACCTTTTCAGTCACTGTCCCTTGCTCGGCCATCATGGCCAGCACGTGGGACCTCGGCTCGCTGGCGGATGTGAAAACCCCCTCAGCCTCCACGCTGCACCCCCCGCTCTGGTGAGCAGCGTGCAGAGTCGGGGTGGCCAGGCCCTGCTCCTGGCCGTGGCCCGGTGGCCGTCACCCTGTCCTCGCACAGGACGACCCCGCC